TTTTTCTTTTCTTTTGGTTTTTTGAGACAGGGTTTCTCTCTGTTGTTTTGGTGCCTGTCCTGGATCTCACTCTGTAGACCAGGCTAGCCTCAAACTCACAGAGATTTGAGCTCTGCCTCCCAAATGCTGGGATTAAAGGCATGCGCCACCATCACCTGACTACTTCCTACCATCTTATTGATGTTTAAGACCATGTGAGGTGTAGAGCTAATGATATCTATTCAATATCACTGAATAAATACTATATGGGTACACAGAAGCTAATAACTAACAGCTAGTCTAACCAATAAAAAAGAATAGACATGTTGAGATTTCTCACCCATCCCTTCCCAAAAGGGGGTAGACTCATTAAGATACAAACTGATCGTGGCACGTGCCTGGCATCCTAGCACCTGGGAGGCTGAAGCAGAAGGGTCATGACATCAAGGCTAGCCTGGGCTACATAGTGAGAGACTGTCTTGAAAAAGCAAATAAAGTGATAGAAATAAAACAATACCTGTGAGGCTCCATTGAAAATGTAAAATATAAAAAACTAAAGGTACAATATCTGAGAAGGAGATGTTTATTTTATTAATTTTGACACAACACTAGATACAGTAGATTCAATATGCTACCTCATTACAGAAATTAGTCAGCACCAGTTGATGGTTTAAATTACACAGAACCATAGTGTTTATTAAAATGCATACATATTTGGGTTGTTTTAAAAATAGAAATACAAATAAATGTTACCCAGTTTGCTTTTACCACTGCAGGGAAGGAGAGGAAATGATTAACTGTGGCTTTTAAGATTTCTCTTTAGTAAATATACAGTATGTGTTCTTTAAAGACCAAACTTTAGAAAATTTTGAAAAGTTATATAGCATTGAGCTGCACATATGTCCTTGCATGTGGGGAGTTCCTGGGTGAGCATTCAAGTTAGAGAAAAAAGGCTGGGGACAGTCAGATTGCACCTCCTATGTCCTTCCTGGCTGCTCTCATCTCCAGACATTCCAACTCAACCCTGACGGTCATGTCATGGCCAGAATCTAAGGTTTGTCTGACTTGTATGTTCTTTCAATCATTTAGACCTGCTTTCTCAATTTGATAAAGCTTTCATGATCAGGAAAATTTCAAAATGGTCTATTTCTAATTTTTTTTTAAAAAACAACAGACCATACACAGTTTTAGAATGAATTTCTCACCCTCTGAACTGTGAGATCCATCCTCTTCCCTTCACCGAGGGTCCCACCTTTGCATAATACAAAAGCTAGTGGATCACAAGGAACTTGGCTGGAGCCAGAGCGGAGGAAGGGTTTGCCTATTTTGGTTAAATGCTAAAGGATCCTTATGTTGCACATATCTTTGCATTTTACTGTCTACAGAGGGCTCCAGCCCTCCGAGGTAAGAGCGCCCAACTCTGCAATTACATCTGGATTTCAGTAAGAGACAGAATGTCTGAGTCTTGTCCTAACCTCTTTAGGTAAATTTTTCTATGAACTGAAACTTTGATAAATGAGCAGAAACGAAGCGAGTCTGTCATGTTTTATATCCAGAAACTGGAAAGACTTTCTTAAGCCATTTTTAGTGTCTATAACACTCGAGATATTATTATTCTATTTAAAAAGTCTGCCCTAAAGCTCTAGTCTACATGAACACCTCATTTAATTCTAAAGTTACACTGGTGCTCATATGACAAGTTATATTTGGCACAGCCGTATTTTTCAGTGATCATGAAAAGAGAAATTTTAATAAACATTTCAAAAAGGACATTCTGACTTCCTATAATTAACCTGGGGTTCCAGAAGGGATTGTTGAGAGAGGCACAGCATGCTTCATTGCTACAAAAACATTTCACTCAACTGAGTTTATAAATTAATAAGGTACCTTCTATTAGAGAATCTAGTTAGCAGAGTATCTCTGCAAATATTACAGATTTAAAGGCTGGAAGTCACATCAAAACCCTTTCCAAGACTGTGGACTTTCAAAGGTTCTGTTTCCAGTATTGTTTTCCATTGTTCATCAGTACAGTTCATGGGGATGCTTCTGAGACAGTGGTATTTTTCTTCTGTATGTCAACCAGTATGCATATTTGCTCCTTATTCCAAAGGTCCTTTAAAAATATTAGTCAGCATAGTAAATGGAGAAGGAGATATTGCTACTTCAAAATTCACATGGCCTTGGAAGGCAGGGATATTTAGCCAAGGAATGGCATAATGCCATGATTGCATTGGAACAGAACATGGCTCATAAATTGTATGGTTTGATCTCTTCAGTAGAGGTAGAACCCTGCCTCTACCTCACTAGATCTGTGCAGTTGAGCATTCTCATGAAAGACTCTTCTATTCAAAAGAGAGCCCCTTTGTGTACCCACAGCCTCTAATTTTAAGTTTCACACTAAAGAGCCTAAGGATACAAACCAACCCTTGGCATTCAATCTTGGTTTCATGGATCTGAAGGGCTAGTTTCACTCAGACTCTGTGGTAGGAGCACCTGTAATACTGCTCTTTCTAGATGGACTCATTTGAGGTCTAGGAACACAAATATCTAAGGTCCATGGAAACATATACTGCATCAGAGTTGGCATAGGAAAGAATATGAATCATCTAGAAGAAACAAATATTACAGCCTATAATACTGCAGGTGTTTATTTAGAAAAATATTGAGATACGGAAATTGTATCTCATCTTGAAAGACACATTCATGCATCCACTTCCCTAGGACTGTTGATCTAGCTTCCATGTTTACTTGATAGACTCACAAAGACATGCCCAGCCAGCCACAACAATGCATTTCTACTGAGCAATATACGTAGGTCTTGGAAATAGATAGGTGAGAAGTCTCAGGTTATATTCGGAGTTTCCTTGAGCACACAAAATTGTGAGTCTTGCCTTTACTACAGTTCTTTGACTGCCATTGTCCTCTTTTGTGAACCAAAACACAGTTCTTCCCAGGCTTTGGGTGCTGAGGGGTCCCTCTCCTCCAGTTGGTGAAAGCAACAGGTTCACCTCCAATCCACTCCCAGCGGCCAGTGTGTGCTTGATTCTTCAAGCCTAATGTGAGTCAAGAGAACATACCAAGTATTTTTATTACATTTAAACTTAGGTACCATGGCTATCCTTTTCCACTTTTTCTACTCCTTCTTTCAGTGCTGGTATTGAGTTTATTTCTTTATACACGGTAGGCAAGTGCTCTACCACTGAGCTAGGTCCCCTTCTCTGCTATTCTTCACTTTTTGAGTATGGTCTCGTTAAGTTCCCCAGTTAGTCTTGAACACGTGGTCTTCCTACCTCAGACTTCCAAATAGTTGTAATTACGGTAGTGTACCAACAACTTGCCTTAGTCTATGGTACTAAGCATAGATATAAAGAACCATGAGTCCCAGTTCTAGATCCAAGAATAGGATTTGGGGATACAACATAACACGCTTAGGAGCATCAGACTTTGGAGCCAAGCAGAGTCTGTTCTCTTTGGGTAAGTTACTCACCCTTTCTGAGTTTTAGTTTTCCCATCTAAAGAATGGGCATAGAAACAGGATCTGTAGTTTGTTGAAAGTTAAAGACGCTAGCCCGTGTAAAACTCTTACCCTAAACAAAGAGCTACGGCAATCAAAGAATGCTGAGAGGGGAAGACGCGGCCTGGCCAGGGAAGAGGCCCTCAGCTGGCTAGCTAACACCAACTGGTCAAACCTGAGTTTATGTGCATACAAGTTAATGTTGTATGGACTGAGCCAGTTGCGTTTATATATTTGAGAATATATAACTGTGTAATTATATAATTATTATAATAATGTATATAATTAAAGAAATAGAGGCCATGAATTTGAGAAAGAGCAAGTGCGGGGTAGGGAAGTGTTGTGCTGTGGTTTGAAAATCTTCCTAATGCTGCACCCCTTTAATATAATTCCCCATGTTGTGGTGACCCCCCCATCATAAAATTATGTCATTCCTACTTCATAACTGTAATTTTGCTACTGTTACGAGTTGTAATGTAAATATCTGTTTTCTGATGGTCTTAGATGACCCCTGTGAAAGGATTATTCAATTCCTAAAGGGTTATGACCCACAGGCTGGGAATCACAGTGTTAGAAGGAAGAAAGGAAAAGGGGAAATCATGTAATTATATTTTAATTTAAGATTTAAAAAAAAAATCTTTTAACATATCTGGTGTCTACTTAAACTTAATGGCAGCTGTTATTACTTTTAGAATTTATGTTTATTTTTATTTTATGTGTATGAGCATTCTACCTACATGCAGGTCTGAGCATTATGAGTGTGCAGTACCAGAAGAGGGCATAAAGTCCTCTGGAAACGCAGTTACAGATGGCTGTGAGCTGCCATGTGGGCGCTGGGAACCAAGCCCAGCTCCTCTGCAAGAGCAGCCAGTGTCCTTAACTTGTTGAGCCCTCCCTCCAGCCCCAGAAGGCCCTGGCATCTACCCACAAAGCTCCTACTACAGGGAAACAGATATTTTGTTGCTCATTATTCCTCCTTCCTATTCTTTAAAAGCTTTTTTTGTCTTTGAATGAAAATGGCCCATAGGCTCACAGGGACAGGCACTATTGGGAGGTGTGGCCTTGTTGGAGTAGGTGTGGCATTGCTGGAGGAAGTGTGTCACTAGGGGCAGGCTTTGAGGTCTCAGATGTTCAAGCCATGCCCAGTGTGGCACTCTCTCTTCTTGCTGCCTGTGGCTCCAGACATAGAACTCTCTGATCCTTCTCCAGTACCATGTCTGCCTGCACGCTGCCATGTCCCACCATGATGATAATGGACTAAACCTCTAAAACTGTAAGCCAGCCTCAATGAAATGTTTCCCTTTATAAGAATTGCCATGGTCATGATGTCTCTTCACAGCAGTATAACCCTAAGTAAGACAACCTTCATTTTCAGTCAGAAGATGTTTCAATCTGCTGTAATTCCAATAAAAATCAGTTTTCCTTGCCTTGCCTCTCTACTCCCACCTGTAATTTCTAAAAATTAGATTCTAATATTATAAGTATCTGTAATATTTGCTTAAAGAAGCACTTTCCCTAATTCTCATAATAGAAATTTTGAAAAGAAAGGGTGCGAGAAAGGAACTCTCTAATGGTAGCATAGTCTGAAATCTTGCCATTCGGACTTGACCTTGACAACAGTTCTAGCCACCAGCTGCCTTCCTCCACTGACATTTCAGTCAGGAACACCCTATTCTGCACTGGATTACCTCCTTGGATTATTCATCAGATAACATGTGCCTTTGTAAACACAAAGCCTTAGAATCGTTACAGATTCACAGGAAAGTTAAGTTCCAGAATTGTTACAGATTTACAGGAAAGTTACGTTCCAGACTAAATCAACACTCTTAGACCATGTCTGAATTTAAAGGCCCAGTGAAGCTAACAGAAAAAGCTAAGAACCAAAGACTATCTTTATAATTATTACCCCAAATACAATGCCTCTCAAAGGGGCAGCGGGAACACGGACTCTGATGTGCCCTGAGAATTCTGCTTCTGAAGTAACTTGT